TATACCATCACAGTATTATGTGAATCAAGCATTTTTTAAAAATAGATGTGTGATTTTTGTACCAAAAAAAAAAAAATCCTATGTTGCTGTCACAGAGCTTCCCAAATTGTTAATCGTTTTTTTTTTTTTTTTGGTACTACGGATTGTACTCTAGAGCTTGTGCTTGCAGGGCAAGGCGGTGGAACCACTGAGCTAAATCCCAGGCCCCAAAATTGTTAATCTTTACAGCATATGTTTCTTTGCACAGTCAGTCCTATGTGTGCATGCACTTTCTCTACACATGCAAGCAAGTGCACATACATTTTATGTGGTGATCAGGAGTCTTGTTTTGTTTCGTTTTGATGAGTCTTTATCTCTCGAGAACAATCTGTAGCTGTAATCTTCTATTTCCTCCAAATACTCTAAAGCACATTTCCCATGATCAGGAACACTAGTACATAATGTAGCATGCAGCACTCCAAATTAGGAAATCAGAGCTGCTCCAACACTAATGTTCACTCCACAGACTTCATTCATATTTTGCCAGCTCTTTTAACAAGTGTCTTTCCTGGTCCAGAGCCCTTTCCAGAAATATGTGTTACTTTGTTTGGTGCTGGGGATTGAATCTTGGGCCTGGAGAATGATGAGCCTGTGCTCTATCACTGAGCTATGACCTTGGTCCTCAGCCTAATGTTCTTTACATTCTATAGAATGACCCTTAACTTGAGTTTGTCTAATAGGTCCTCATACTGGACTGGGTAATGCATTCTTTCTCTTTTTTGTTTTGGCAATGGTTTTATTGAAATATAATTCATATGTCACAAAATTAATCCATTTAGAGTATATAGTTAATTGGTTTTTAATATCTGCATTCATAGGGTATGCCACATTCACTACAGTCAATTTTAGAACATTGTCATTGCCCCCAAAAGAAACTGTGGTTTTAATTATTGCTCCTAAACAGATTAGAAGGGGAACAAGGGAGGAGGGAGAAGGGGAAGGGAAAAATGGACAAGGAAAAAAAGAGAGAATTGAAGGAAAAAATGGAATTAAAACTTTTGTACATAAGGAAGGGGTGGGAATGGGCAAAAAAAAAAAAGAAGCAAGATATATACTGGCACAAATTCCCTATGATGTATGTTATCATTATGTATATCTAAAATGTACCAATAAATGCTTTGTTTAAAAAATTATTACCCTAAAGGGCCCATGCCCCCAGCCATAAGGAATCATTCTACCAGTGTAGATCGATCTATCCTACACATTTCGGATAAATGGAATCGTATCCTGCATGATCTTTAGTAACCCATTTCTTTCAACTAACATTTGCAAGATTCATCCATGTTACAGTATGAATCAGTAATTTATTCCTTTTGTTAAATTGTGCTATATGTGTAGATATGCTATAGTTGGCGTATTCATTTATTTGATGGACAGTAAGATTGTTTTCTCATTGGTATTGAATAATGCTACTAAGAACATTTCTGTACAAAATTTTGTGTGGACATGTTTTCATTGCTCTTAGGTAGAGACTAGAAATAGAATTGCTAGATCATATAATATCTTCATATTTACCATTTTAAGGGCTTGCTAAATTGTTAAAGTGGCTGCACCATTACATTTCTACCAGCAATGTTTGAGGGTTCCGTGTCTTTCTATCCATTTGAACATTTGTTACTACATCTATTTTTTTGTGGTGCACACCTGTAATCTCAGCCCTCAGAAGACCATGAGTTTGAGGCCAACCTGGGCTACATAGTGAGTTCAAGGCAAGTCTGAAATACATAGCAAGACTTTGTCTCAAAACAACAAAACAAAACAAAAAAAAAGCAAGAGTACATCCATGTTTTTTATTATAGCCATCGTGGTGGTATATATGATAATGGGATCCTACAGTGCTTTTGTATTTTCTAATGGCTAATGATTTTGAACATCTTTTTGTGTGTTTAATGGCTATTTGATTATCTTGGGGAAAATGTTTATTGAAGTTTTGGCCTGTTTTTAATTTGGTATCTTTTTTTTGAGATGGAATTCATATAACATAAAACAGGTCATTTTAAATGATCATTTAGAAAATTCAACGTTATACAAAGATTACTACTACCTAGTTTCTAAACATCTCCATCGGTTCCTGTAAACATCTCAAGTCTGTTAAGTAATCACTCTCTGTTATCTTATTTCTTCATCCAGTGGTAGTCTCTGATCTACTTTATTTATTTATTTATTTATTTTAAGCAGAGTCTCACTATGTAGCTCAGGCTGACCTCATGATCCTCCAGCCTCAGCCTCCCAAGTGCTGAGATGACAGGCACAGACCACCACACTTGGCTTAATCTGGTTTCTGTTGCCATGGATTTGCCTATGTGGAGATTTCAAAAACAAAATCATACAATATGTTTCATTTTATGTCTGGTTTCTTTCATTTAACTTATATCAAGTTCTTTCAGCTACTTTGGTCATGATCATTCTTTTAAAATTTTTTGGTGGCAGATTACTACTCGCTCAGTCATATGTATACTAGCCACTCATCTGTTGGTGGACGTTTGAGTCATTTTCATCTTCTAGCTATTGTGAGTAACACCATTATGACATTCATGTGCATGTGTTTTGGTGCCTGCATAGTAACTCTGTGTTTAATTTTTTGAGGCACTGCCAGGCTCTTATCCACGGAATAATTTTAATTCCCACCAGCAACACAGTGGTTCCAGTTTTTCTACATTCTAACTCTTCAGATTTTAAGTTTTTAAAAATTATTTCTATGACCATTCTTGTGGGTATAAAGTGGAATCTCATTGTGGTTTTTGATTTGTATTTCCTTAATGAATGAATGATGTTTTCTTGTCCCTGTTGGCCATTTGTGTATCTTCTTTAAAGAAGTGTCTCTTTAAGTTTTTTGCCCATTTTTAAATTGGGCAGTCTTTTTGTTTGTGAGTTAAGTGTAGTATATATACTATGGATATTAGACCTTCATTAGGTAGATGATTTGCAAATACTTCTCCCATTCTTTAGTTGTCTTCTCACTTTCATAGTATACTTTGAAGCACAACTGTTTTTTAATTTTGATGATTCCAGTTTATCTGTTTTTTCTTTGTTCACATGCTTTCCTTGTCATCTAAAAAAATAATTTCCAAGTTCAAGATCCCAAACATTTATATATTTTTTCTAGGCATTTTATCTACTATTTTTAAGTCTTTGGTCTATTTTGAGTTTGTTTTTATATATGATATGAGGTGGTAGTAGTCCAGAACTTCATTCTGTTGTTTGTGGATATTCATTTGTCCCAGCTACTTTGCTCTGGTGCTTTTAGGTTGACAATAAATGTGAAAGTTTATTTCTGGATTCTCAATTGACTTCTGTATCTGTCCTTGCTCCAGAACTATAGTATTTCTTACTATTATTTTTGTAGCAAGTTTTGAAATGGAGAAGTGTTAGTTCACTTTGTTCACTGGCAAGATTGTTTTGGTTATACTAAGTCTCTTGAGTTTCCATGTGAATTTAAATTGCTGTCAATTTCTGTAATATCATCTGGGATTTTGATACAAATTATATTTACTCTGTAATTCAATTTGATCATCTTTCAAATACTATATTTTCCAATTCATGAACATGGATATATGTCTATTTGTATAGCTCCTTTAATTTTTTTCAGCATGTTTTGTAGTTTCTAAGTAAAATCTTTAACACAGGTATACTAATATATACACAAATAAACTTGCACATATACATATACACCAACACACACAGAATGCCTAAAATAACCTGGCACATGGTTAGGGTTTGTATAATATTACTGTGAATACTGATGTCTTAAATCTTTTTATGTGTCTTTAATACATAGGGCAAGGTGGATTAAAACAAAAATAGAAGAGTATTGAGCACTCACTTCTAGACAGTTTTACAAAAGAAAGGCTTAAATTCTATTTTTTCTTTTAATAGAGATAAGATGTAAAAAGTATCAGATATAATGTTAAATGTAAAGCTTAAAACTGGTATGATTCCATTTTTGTCAAATTTGTCTTCTACTAATTGTTATATGTGAGGAAAATCAAAAGAAATACATCAAAAATTATTTTTGGCTGGAAGAATTATGATGATTTATATTTTCTCAACTTTTCTACGTTTTATTTTAAGCATGTGTAGATTTTTGCATATATACGTACACAAGAAAGAATATTAATTAAAGTTGGTTTTTTGAGACGGTCTCACTATGTAGTTCAAAGTAGCCTTAAACTCACCATGTAACCGAAGCTGGCCTTATACTCACAGGCCTCAGCCACCCAAGTGCTGGGATTATAGATGTGCACTGCCACGCCCAGCTTAAAGTTGTGTTTTGTTTTGTTGGGACAGGGTCTCACCATGTAGCTCAGCTTGGCCCCGAACTCACTATGTGTAGCCCAGGCTGGCCTGGAACTTGCAGCAGCCCTCCTGCCTTGGCCTCCTGAATGCTGGGACTACAGCCATATGCCACCATGCCCAGCTAAGTTGCTTTTTATAATGTAAGCATTCAGAGTTTAGATACTGATTTACTTTATTCCTGTGAGAATTTTTCATATATAACCTGAATTATATATCATATATATATATATATATATGTATATATAAAATATTGTCTTGCCTACTGCAAAGCACATGATTATAAAGTTATTAAGGACTTAAAAATATATACTTTGAGGACCGGGAATGTAGCTCAGTGGCACTGCACCTGCCTCACAAGTGCAAAGTCCTGAATTTGATCCCTGGTTACCCCCTCCAAATATATATATATATATCCCAGTAGAAATATATGAAGGTGCACACATTACTGTTCATAAGTCATAAAAGATCATCTTCATCTATAGGTAAAGATTAAATAGTAGCTCTTTGGCTTGTTTCTAAGGTTCATGGTGTTTTAATAGCATTGGTGGTCTACATTTTTAAGATACATTCAGAAGCTAATATTTATCCTCACATAATTAAACATTATATTACTACTCCATTGGGAATTAAAACTAATAGCATTATTTAAATAATTTTTCCACCAGGCATGGATGGGCAGAAGCCTTTGCAGGTATCAGAAGTTCACATATCAAATATATCTGTCCACATGCGTGAGTATTCCTGATCTTTAGGCTTTTGATGAAAAATTTGGGGAGGAATAATTGTACTAGCTTTGGTTTTTCAGAAAAGCCTTTGAATATTAATTAATTTTTATTTTTCAGATAATCAGTTTAACAATAAAGTATGTCTAAAATGTAACAATAAATGTTTTGCTATTAAAAATAAATAAGTAAAACTAAAAAAAATAAAGAATAAAGATTAGTGGACTTTGTAAAAACTGTAGTAGTCTTTTGGTTAAATTGAAGATTTTTTTTTTCTTTTTTGGGGAGAGAGAAATTGAAAATACTGTTCTCCTATAGGTCAGTTGAATTAAAAATTTTTAAAAGTTTTCTTGTCATATTTATTTAACACTAAGAAATCAAATTTTCATAGATTTATATAATTAAAATCTTTAAGTACTTACACATAATAAAATTGCAAAAAATAGAAAAAAATTTTGTAAAAAAAATGCAGGTCAGTTGAATTTAAAGCCAAAAAAATTGTTTTAAATATATAAATATCTTGTTAAGTTCTAGTGGGCAATCTGTGCAGGGATTTACTTGCCAAATTTGTGAAAAATCTTTATTAAGTTAAAAACACTCTTTTATTTTATCAGTAGAAGCCATGTGATATACTGTGGACAGAACACAGACCTTGAGAATGGTAGATTTGGTTTCAATTTCTGTCTCTGAAAATGATACCAAAAAGAAACTAGCAAGTTTTCTTTTTTCTTTTTGGTACCAGGAATTGAACTCAGGACATTGTGTTTGCCAGGCAAGTATGGTGCCACTGAGCTGAACCCTTGGCCCAGACTAGCAAGTTTTGTTTTGTTATGTTTTGTTTGGTACCAGGGATCAAACGCTGGACCTTGTACTTGCAAGGAAAGGTGGCTGGAACCACTGAACTAAATGGCCAGCCCCTAGCAAGTTTTGACCAAATGCAGAAGATAAGCTTGACCAGTGTTAGGTCAAAAGGTCACTGAGAAGCAATGACAAAAGGGGTCAGATATATGCTAGCAGGTTAGTAATTCAACCTGAGAAGTGGTAGTAATAAAGACAGATACACAAATAAAACAAAAGAAATAATATTTGAAGATTAGGCAAGGAAACCTTCCTTCTTCTTTTTGTCCTGAAATTGTCTTATCTGTTTATGCTACAGTGAAATACTGTGGCTACTGTGGCTGTCTTTTTTTTTTTTTTAAAGAGTAGGAAAGGTTTATTGGGGACTAGGAATAGCTCTTTAGGAGTCTGGAGTGGGTTGGCCAGTGTGCTCTATTATTGAGCTCAAGCAAGAGACAGAATTCTTAACTATGTTGAAATTTCAGCTATTATTATTTGCCCAAGATCAAATTGCTTTCAAAGCATTTTCTGACCCAGGGAAGTTTGTATTCTCAAATTCTGATACGATTTTTTAAAATAAATTTTATTTTATTTCACACCTTTCCTTCCCTCAAGCCCCCCCCCCCACTTTTCAGTTTCCACAAATAGACTTGTTACCAGAATCAGGAGGATAGTGGTGAGATATAGTTAGGGTGTATATATCTTTCTTTCCTTTTGTATCTGGCTAAATTCAGATTGTCAAGCATATTTTTAATTCCAGACTTGAATTGGATGCGGTGGAAACTTAGGCAAAACTGAAACTTATTTAGGGCAGGTGTGTAGTTAAGAGATAGACAATAAGTAAAATATAATCTGAGAAATGGGAATTGATGGTAGGGTATCTGTGAAATAAATTGCTGTCACCAGAGTCACATTTTATGCATTTCCATCTGTCTTGATTCCTAGTTTTCTTTCTCCTGTCTGAGAAGTTACAAATGTTAAGGGCATTAAAAAAGGAAAAAAAAAATATATTTGCCGAAGCTTAATCCTTTGTGACTACTGCTATGTCTTCAGAACACATTTGGGAGGGTGTAAATAACAGGATTATTCAGGTGTGTATGCTTAAAACAGCTCATGTGAAAATAGTAGCATAGAGGGCTGGGGATTTAGCTTAGTGGCACCATGCCTGCCTCGCAAGCGTGAGGTCCTGAGTTCTGTGCCTAGTACCAAAAACAAAACAAAACAAAAAAAAATAGCATAGAGTTTTATGTAGCCTCAAGTAACTACCTGTTTTAGATGATGTAATTTATTGTGTTTTGGTACTCTTATTTTTCTGTTTTTCTTTCCTTTGTAGGCCAGTTATGCCTGTGACATTAAATATGAACATGGCTATGCCCTCTTGGTAAGTAAGAATTTACTTGTTCATTAAGAACATTTTAGTCTTTTATCAGAAGTGCTTTTATTTATTTATTTAGCTATCAGGAATTGAACTCAGGGCCTCACGCTTGCCAGGCAGGCATTGTACCACTGAGCTAAATCCCTGGCCCTGTCAGAAACGCTTTTTTTTTTCTGGTGTGTGTGGGAGTGTTGAACTCAGGACTAGGCAGCTGCAGCACAGCTGAGCTACATCTCCAGCCCCTGAAGTGCTTTTATGCACAGTTTTTTTTTTGTTTTGGTACTGGATATCAAGAATTGAGCTCAGGACCTTAAGCTTGTAAAGCAGGCTTGGTGCCTCTGAGCTAAATCCCCAGCCCTATGCACAATTTTTGTTTAACTGTTTTTTTCTGTTCTTTTTTTGTGTTTTTCTTCTGTTCAGGGTATGAACTGAGGACCTTTGCACTGAGTCACATTCTGAGCAGTTTTTATACTTTTTTTTTTGAGACAGAGTCTCACTAAGTCAGAGTTGCCCAGGTTGGGCTCAAACTTGGAATTATCCTGCCTCACCTTCCCTGTGACAGTGCTGGGATTACAAACATGTGCCACCATACCTGGCTTTGTTTAGCTATTTTATTTTATTTATTTATTTTTGTTTGTTTAGCTATTTTAAATTGCAAGGTTACATAATTAACTTTAAAGTTAAACTTTCTTATTTAAGTTTTTTTTGTTTTTTGTTTTTTTTTTTGGTTTTCATTTTTTTGGTACTGGGGAACCCGGGACCTTGTTCTTGCGAGGCAGGTGGCAGAATCACTGAGCTAAACCCCGGCCCCTAAATTTGTATGGCTTTAGATTTTTTAAGGAGCTGTTCAAACAGGTAAAGAAACAGGAGAGAATGAGTGAATAGAAGTATTGTCAGAAAATCTCTTATGGCTTTGTACGCCTTTATTGATGTCAGTAACTGAATATGTGAGTGGTCCCATTGGTATACACTCTGATTAAGCCATGGCGTCATCATCCTTCCAGCTTTTTGCCTTCACTCAGAGCTCACTAGTTTTTAAGGCAATTACTTCCCTTTTATCCCTCTCAAGTTATTCTCACATTCCTTATACACTTCATGGTTAGCAAATAGAGCAAGTTTCTTCTCTGTGTAAGTGTCCATAATGTGAGCATACAATCTCATAGAAAAGTACAAAGTCCTGAAAGAAGGCTTCCCTTGGTTTTTGGTTTGAGGTGGGTACAATGCAAATCAAAAGTTTTGAAAAATGGATAAATACATACACTGTGTAAATACGTACGTTTGATAGGTCTGAGGTAGTGCGTGAAAGAGCAACATGGTACAGAAAATTGACAATAGAAGAGCACATTAATAGCTGGAATTCATTAAAAAAACTCAGGATTGTGGGTTGAGTGTAAGATTGAACTAAGTATTTTTTTAGGCTACTCTTGCCTTAAAATTATATGACATTGTGGTTTTTTAACATTAGAATCCATATCTAGTTGGAGTGAGAGGATCATACAGAATGTCAGATTCAGCCAGGTGTGGTGGCGCACGCCTATAACCCCAGCACTTGGGAGGCTGAGGCAGGAGGATCGCTGTGAGTTCGAGACCAGCCTGAGCTACATAGTGAGTCCAGGTCAGTCTCAACTACATAGTGAGACCCTGTCTCAAAAAAAAAGAATATCAGATTCAGGTTAATTATATAGCCTCTGTAGACATTTTAAGTTTTTGTTCTGGGAAATGTCTCTGCTTGCTTAGTGCTTTTTATATAGACTACCATTAATTTAGTAAAACACGCTTAAGAAGAATAGACTTAAAATCAAATGGATTTGGCCTTATTTTCTAGGTTTGATATCATTGGGCTTTCACCAGATTCTCAGGAGGATGAACCTGGGATTAAACGAGCAGCAGAAAATGGTAAGTTTAGAAAATTTTTATAAAGATAATTGCATTTGTAAATGCTTTAATAGATTCTCTAGTTAACAGTAATACTGATTAAATGTGGCACATTCCATGATCCCAGTAGGTAGTGCTATTTCGTTCCTGTCTGATCACTCTTAACTTGTTTGCCTCCAAATCAACATAGACTCACTTAACTATGGTCAGTGGAGGTGAGGTAGATGAGGAGGAGTGGCATTTATTAAGCTTCTGCTCTGTCAGGTACATAAGAATTTTGCTTTGATTTATATAGGCAATGGAGAAAACAGCACTAATAGGACTGCAAGGTTGCACCCAGCCTAGGCTACATAGCAACTTATTGAGACCCTGTCTCAATAAGAGGGGTCTGGGGTTTGGAGGGTGTAGTCCAGTGTGAAGGCCATATGTCCTAAAAAGAACAAAACCCGTAGGGCAGGGGATTTAATGCAGTGGCACCACACCTGGCTCCCAAGCACACAGTCCTGAGTTTGATCCCTGGTATCCCCCAAAAACTCCCCAAACTGTAAATCACAAATTATAATTTATTTAACTATATATAACTATTTAACTATTTATTTAACTATAGCAATTTGTTTACTATTTAAAATGACAGCTTTTAGGTGCAAATACCCTCTGATTTATTTTTGTTTTTCTTTTTTTTGTTTTTGTTTTTGTTTTTTTTGGTACCAGGGATCAAACTGGGGACCTTGTGCTTGCAAGGTAGGCAATGGAGCCAATGAGCTAAATCCACGGCACCCTCTGATTTATTGAAGAAATATAAAATATACATGAGCTAAATTAACCATAAATAAATATAAGAATATCCGTCTTTCTTTTTGTTGTTTTTTTGTTTTGTTTTGTTTTGGTACTGGAGAATCGAACTCAGGACCTTGCACTTATGAAGCAGGTGCATTGCCACTGAGCTAAATCCCTGGCCCCAAGAATATCCATCTTTTGAAGAGAGGGAACTATTATTAGAAAGTATATTACAGAACTTACTGAAATTTTGGGTTAAGTAACACCTGCAAAATCTGAGCACTTTCATAATGAAAATACATTCTAATTTTGTATTTTATGGAATGTCTCAAGTTTTTCATGAATTTCCATCCTGACTATGCTATGTGCTTTGGTATTATTTTTTTCTATTTTAAATTGTGTTAAGGAGCTTAATTCTGAAGGTATATGTTTAATTTTTTTGTTTTTAGTAAGAGCTTTAATAGAGCAAGAAGTGAAGAATGGCATTCCTTCTAACAGGATTATTTTGGGAGGATTTTCTCAGGTAAGATAAAATTTGGGTGGTATGTCTATGTGTGTACTATCTGTTTATTAATCTAGAAGTCTATGGTTTCAATCCTTTTTCTATGGAAGAGTCCTTATTTATTTATTTATGTATTTATTTTTGTTACCAGGGATCGAACTCAGGCCCTTGCGCTTAAAAGACGGGTGGTAGAACCACTGAGCTAAATCCCTGGCCAAAGAGTCCTTTTTTAGAAGATGGTATAAGTTCTTGACTTATATTAAAACTGAAATAAGTTTGATTGGACTGGAACTAATTAATTACTTGTATACTTTTTTACTTTAATCATTTTCTGTTGTCAGCAATAGTCTTTACTTTTATTTTTATTAAGTAAAATGATGTAGACCTGGAATATATTTTCTTTTTTAAACATTTTTATTTTTATTAGTACATATTTGCAGTATGCAGCGATTACATGCATCATGAAGAGTTGGTACATATTTTTTTTTTTTTGTACCAGAGATCGAAGTTGGGCCGTTGTACTTGCAAGGCAGGCAGCGGAACCACTGAGCCAAATCCCCATCCCTATCTTAATTCTTTTTCTGTCCCTATTCTTTCTCCCTACCCCTTCATCACTTGGTAGACCTGGAATGTATTTTCTTTTTTCTTTCTTTTGTTTTTTTTTTTTGGTAGCAGGGATTGAACTCAGTTCCTTGTGCTTGCAAGGCAAGGCAGTGGAACCACTAAGCTAAATCCCTGCCTCAGGAATGTATTTTCTTAAATAACTATAAAATGCTATATAGTTAGGTTTCTAAGTTAGCACTCTGTATACCTGTTTAAACAGAACTCTTAATAACATAGGCCTCAGTTCTATGACTTAGGAGGAGGCTAGTAATAGGAACAGTAAGGTAGTGATATAAGAGAATTTCTTCCCCTTTTGGAGCATTTGAAATAGATTTTAGATGTAAACATGTAATGTTTCTTTTGACATCTTTCTTCCTCTCTCTATCTTTTCTCTAATCATCTATAGTTTCTCAATAGTAAGTTTCCTTATAATTGATCTTGCATCTTTACTTCGGCTCTTCACGTTTCCATGTAACCCATATTCAGAATGCTTTAGCTTCTGATCTCTTTTAAATCTTCTAAATAAACAACTTACTGTTTTGATGACATTGCTAAGGGAAATGTAAGAATTCTGGAATAAATAAAAAGAATTCTGGAAATATTTAGACAGTATAATTCAATAGAAAAGATATGTTGTTGATACAATACAATAAGGTATTATTAATGTGGTGTTTCTTGAAGTGGTTTAATATAATAGTACACATCTTGACACAAACATAGAAAGTAATGCTTGACTCAAAAGAAGTATGCATAGAAATTTTATTTGAGATTCATTGATTATAGCTTATAGAAACAAATTTCTAAAATACTTTAAATAAGAAAGAGCTAAGCACATAGTGCTGCCTGTAATTCAAACCTAGACTGGGTGCTTAGCTGAGACCCTTTCTCAAAATAAATAAGTTTTGGGGATATAGCTCAGTGCGAAGGCCCTGCATTCAGTCCCTAGTATAAGAGCATGTGTGTGTGCGGAGTTCTGGGAGGGGAGAAGAGAAGAAAAAAGGAGGAAGTTAGGAGTCTGTGGCCTTTCAAGGAAACTATGGATCACAATATTGCAAATCCTCAGTAGCTTGGACTTCAAAAGGCATCCGAATGTTTCTCTCCATCTTGATCTCTGTTTCCTTGCTCATCTGCTTTATTGCCTCTCCATCGATTATTGGCCTTTTAGCTTTTACAGCCTGTTCCTTTTCCAGCTGTTGAATTTACATGTTACAGTTCCATTTACACAGAGACTGGCAGGCAGTCACTGAATCTCAGTTCCACAGTTCTAGAAGAAAGGATATATCACTGTCTGGAATGAGAAAAATTCTCACGTCCTCGTGTGGCATAGTGACTCATGGGCATGGTTAGTGACAGGACATCTAGATGGCTGACATGAAAGTAGTTCCTCAGACATGGTCTTGCAAGCTGGCTGGGATGATAATGTGAAGGTGTCTGCTACAGAATCCTTATCTTGAATTCTTATTGTAGAAAGTAATGTCAGTAGTATGAGTGTTCTTTTTGGTGTAGGAAATGGTGTCCTTTATGAGTATATATTTCCAATATTTGCCTGATTTGATTTAACATCAACCACCCAGTTTGATTTCCTTAAATAAACCTTAATGACAAGAAATCTTTTACATTGTTCTTGGCAGTGTGTGTATTCCATTGACTTTTCCCTGCTTTCTTTCCAGGGAGGAGCTTTGTCTTTGTACACTGCTCTAACCACACAGCAGAAACTGGCTGGTGTCACTGCACTTAGCTGCTGGCTTCCACTTCGGGCTTCATTTCCACAGGTAGTCTGGTTCGTCCCAAAACATGAGATTACTGAGCTAAAAAGTAGATAATGTTGGGAGAAGGTCATCTTTTTAAATTTAATTAATAAACTTTAGGGGTTTTTAGAGCAGTTTTAGGATTTTAGCAAAATTGGTAGAAAGTACATAGTTGCCATGTCCCCATGTTGCACAGCCCACCGTGGCACCTTCATATAATGGTAAATCTGCAATGACACATCATGGCCAACCAAAGTCCACAGTTTACCTTAGTCACCTTTTTTTTATTTTATTTTTTCTGGTATGAGGGATCAAACTCAGGACCTTGTGCTTGTGAGGCAGCCTTGGCACCACTGAGCTAATTCCCTGGCCTGAGTCACCTTTTTTTTTGCTTTTGTTTTTTTGTTTGTTTTGAGACAGGGTCTCACTAGTAGTTGAGACTGACCTGAAACTCACTATGTAGTCCATAACTCAGAGCGATCCTCCTGCCTCAGCCTCCCAAGTACTGGTATTAAAGGTGTGCGCCACCACACCTGGCTCCAAGTCACCTTTTTTTTTTATAAAAAATATTCTTTAGATGTTTGTGATATGTTACTAGGCTTTATTGCTACACTATACTGTCTTTATGAGTTACACAGAGTCAAATAAGAAACTGTGATAAATCTTGTATTTGAAGATTTGATACATTTTAGGATATTCACTGTTTGGGCTAGGGGTAGCTCCATGGGGGAATGCTAGCCTAGCATGTGTGAACCCTGGCGTTCGATCCCCATATGAGATAGATAGATAACCACTGAGCCACACCCCTAGTTGAGTTAACTTTTAAATTTAGGGAGTTTGGGCTTGTTACTATTTCATAACTTGATATCTTATACATAATATGTATTGTTTATTAACATTCTTATTTATATAACATAGAAAATGAAGAAACATAATACTGAAAGTAATTGATTACCTTTCATTACAAAACACTGAAAATATAAAGATGAATTAAGATAGAATTGGCTTCAAGAAACAAATTCACCAGAAATGTATGTATTAGGGCCAGGGATTTAGCTCAATGGTTCCACTGCCTGCCTCACAAGCACAAGGACCGGAGTTCAATCCCTGGTACCAAAATAAATAAATAAATAAATAAATAAATATATGTATTAATATAAGGCAAAGTAATCATGTATTCTATAAACATTTGAATAAAGGGATATGACGAATATAGGAATGGAAAAAATTTTATTTCTTTGGCCAAATATAACCTCAAGTATAAATAATACATGTATGTGCATATCTAAATATAGTTTTAAATATTCAGCATAATGCTTTATATGCTTGACCAATATTAGTTTTTGTTTTTTTTTTTTTGCAGGGTCCTATCAGTGGTGTTAACAAAGATATTTCTATTCTCCAGTGCCATGGAGATTGCGACCCTTTAGTTCCCCTAATGTTTGGTTCCCTTACTGTTGAAAAACTAAAATCATTGGTAAATCCAGCCAATGTAACCTTCAAAAGCTATCAAGGCATGATGCATAGTTCATGTCAACAGGTAGGTATCTGGAAGCTGTGATTATAGCTAGAATTACGGCTTCTTCCATGTGATTATTTTCATAGTGGATGTCATTTAACCTCTTGGTGTGATATAAAGGAATAACTATGAATTTATATCAAATAAGTTATCAGGACTTTCAATGAAAGTTTATTCAATTAAATTCAACAAATATCTGATTGCTTATTATGCATAATCACTGTACATAATTCAAAGATGAGTAGTAAATATTCTATTTCTTAAAATTGTATGCGGTTTAGAGCCGGGCGTGGTGGCACATGCCTGTAATCCCAGCACTCGGGAGGCTGAGGCAGGAGGATTGCTGTGAGTTCAAGACCAGCGTGGGCTACATAGTGAGTTCCAGTTCAGTCTGAACTACATAGTGAGACCCTGTCTCAAAAAAAAAATTGTATACAGTTTAATATATGAAAAAAATGTATATACAAGAAGTTATGCAGAAAACAGAGTATGAGCAATTTTTGAAACATGCCCTAAAAAACTTAGAGTGAAATTAATTTTATCTTAGGCACCTAGGTCATGATGAAAGAGCTAGATTTTGAAGAATGAGTCACATTTGGGGGCTGGGGATTTAGCTCAGTGCTTCTGCCACCTGCCTTGCAAGCACAAGGACCTGAGTTTGATTCCCTGGTACCCCCCCAAAAAAAGAATGAGTCAACATTTGGATAGCAAATATTCAGGAAAGGGACTGTTGGGCTGGTGTGATAAAGCTAGATGTGATAGGATAGATATGGGGATCAAGGGACTCACTTGTAGAAAGCTTTTATGTTGTAGTGAAGAGAGGGAGTTTTTCTTAGGCAACAAGAAGCCATCAGTGGTTTGATGGCAGTGAGGGGTAATCTAATTTATATCCTAAACAAGGTGAAGCAGAATCTAATAGGATTTAGAGGTTAATTCTGAGCATTGGGAAAGGTTACCAAGAGGCCTTAGATTTGTAGCTCAGATGACTAAGAAGTATAAGAATAGTTTTTGAGTAATAGGAAGGAGATAATTTTGAGTTAAGTAAATATATCAAAATAGGATTTTGGAAATACTTGTCTGAATCTCATGCCTATAAAAGGAGATTTGGAACACAGTAATCATCAGAATTGTTGATCTATGAATTAGGAGAGAACATCATGAGGAAAAAAGCTGAGGGATAGAACTCTGGGTGATATAATTAGATTAAGAGGGAGCACAGTCATGTATTTTAGAGAAGGATTAAGGAGAAATAGCTCAGGAAGAAACTATCTACCCATGACCTTGAATGTTTGGGGAAGGAGAGGGAAACTTCAGTGAACTGTGGTGGTGTGGGGAGGAGAATGAAATAGAGGTGGTGTGCACAGACCTTTTAAAAAAGGTTTTGATAAAGAGGAAGAAGAGTAGGAAGTCTTTATGAGTATGGAGGAGGAAGAAGATGCAGTAAGAAGATATTTGATAGAAAGTGTTAGAAGGAAAATAAAATAGAACAAGGACCATAGGTTGTGCTACCTTAAAAAGGAGAAAATAGTCTAAAATCAGGTTAGAAGAGGATAGGTAAGTATAAACTGGAGATGTCAAGATAGGGAAGAGAGTTCTTGGGTGCTTACATTCAATGTTCTTTATCCCTTCAGTAAAGTAGGATATGTGGTCAGTTCATAAAGAATGTAGGAGGCCTGGGTAATTTGGGGGGCTTGAAGATGTCTAGAATAAAAATTGATTAAATTGCTAAGCAATAAGTAGTTTTGAGCCAGCAGCACTGTGTATAACCCCTCACATGGTTAAATCATTTGCTTTAGGAGCATAGGCAGTAATATATCCAGAGACAACAGGGCCTAGGATCCTAGGGTGTTTCCCTACTAAAATGAAGACCTGAAGTATTGAATCCAGTAAAGCGAGGTGGGGAGGGCGATGGCACCATGATCACCCATTAAGGACTGGGCAACCAGTGTGTCTCAAGTACCCCTGCACATAGGTGAGTGCTGTGGGATCACATTTGAGGACTCGACTGAAAGAGCAGGGGCAGAAAGTAAGGCGTGGTAAGAAGGGAGAGGTGGTATCACAGGAAACTGTCAGGACTTAGGGTGTTGTAAAGTGAAACACTTTCATTCTGAGGCTCCTTTCTGAGAGACTAAAAGTTTACAGATTCTGTGTGTGGCTAATTTGTGGAGTGGTAAAGCCTTGAAATATAAGAGCTGATATTGGGAGGTAAGAAAACTAAGCTTGATATAGAAATTTTCCAAGAGAAAGTTTATTCTATAATAAATCCTTGGTGTATTCATATTCACATCTTTCCAGTGCTCTGTGAGGTTCATGCTGAAAGGCACAAAATAGTTTAAACTATGTATTTTGCATTTTAGTCTAATGAGAAGCTAGGCATTTTACTATAATTTGTTGTCAGTGATTGTGTGCTTTTTTTTTTGGTACCGGGGATCGAACTCGGGCCCTTGTACTTGCATGGCAGGCGGCGGAACCACTGAGCCAAATCCCTGGCCCTATGATTGTATGCTTAATGAGACTTCTCAGTATAGGGACTGTCACGTCTATGCTTCCTCACTCTCCAATGTTTTATATAAGTATGGGAAAATGCATGCCATTTTCGTGGAACTAGATAATAGATGGGAGTTGTTTCAGTGTAAAATAGTAGTCATCATAGAGAATATTCTGAGTTTCTACTGTAGCCTCAGTTTTGTCTTTTTATTGTAGTAATAAAAACGTGGTTTCACTTTATGTATGCACACCAGATGGATTTTGTTAATGACATTATACTGAGGATTCTGACTTATATAGCTGCTTATTAAATCACTTTATTCCAAACAGGAAATGATGGATGTCAAGCAATTCATTGATAAACTCCTACCTCCAATTGATTGACGTTGCCAAGAGGCCTTGTGTAGAAGTACACCAGCAGCATTGTAGTAGAGTATAAACTTTTTCCCATGCCCGATCTTAAAACTTCTAATCTTTGCAGTGTTAAAATGTTTTTCAAATACACATCAATGATATATAATAAATAACATTTCCTTGTGGGAAATGTATGATCTTTTAAGCTTTCTATACATGTATTTGTATAATGTGATTCAGAATATACCAGTATTAAAATAGGTGAGGCAGCTAGGTTCTTTTTCTCAGATATAATTCAGCAAAATACTAAAATACTGCAACAAGATTTTTTTATTACATCACTTGAAAATTACCAGTATGCTAATGATAATTTGTTCAGATAAAATGGTTTAGGTATAAATGATCTGTGCATGCTGTGACTTACCCTATGGATTTATTCCAAAATTGCTTAGTCACCGTTCAATGTCTGTATTTTTCTATATATGTTCATTATACATAGTGATTGTAATACATAGGAATTAGTTATTATTACATTATCCTTGATAATAAGGATAATGCTTTTGTCAGTAAAGAGTAACATTGCTCTCTTCATTTAATGGCCCCTTTATTTGAGGGACCAGGTTTTTCTTTTCCTTGATAGTATTTCTTTCTTTCTTCTTTTTGGTGTACCGGGGATCAAAGTTGGGCCCTTGCACTTGCAAGGCAGGCACCGGAACCACTGCACTAAATCCCCAGCCCTCCTTGAAAGTATTTCTATTTAGTATTTTCTCTTCTCAAGAAAAAAATGTTTTCTTTCATGATTATACTTCATAACTGACTAAATATATTGCCTCCCTGCCATCTACTGTCAATACATGCTGTAATTTGACATTCTAAATTACAGACACATGGTATTTGAAATCTATATAATTTTAAAAATAAAAGAAAGCAACCATCACTTAAACTTCTTATATTATATAATTCAAATAATTGTACTTTAGTTCAAATTTAGACTTATTTAGAATCTTCAATTCAGATAATAAAATATTATTTTTCTGTAAGCAGTTGAATGAATAATTAGACATATTCTGATATGTACAGAAATATTTAAGACTGATCTTAAAAACTAATTTCTTATTGTATCGCCTTGCTGCAGTTTTACTTTTCTGTACATATGTTTGAAGCCAACTACTTTAGAAAAAACAATCCATTAAATAAATTTGCTTTATTTTTATTTGTCAATGGTCTTATTTGAAATTTTTACTTCAGATTATTTTTAAAACTTAGACTTTCATGCAAACATAAAAACAAATAGTTTGATTTTAAATAGTCAAAATTTCCAGATTAATAGTAAAAAATTATTTGAAAACAAATTTTGGGGTAGTAAAAGTTACTCAGAACTCTATAAATATGATATAGTTACTATACAGTTTAAAATTGTAGCAAAATATATGCTTAATATTGCTGAATTATGTTAATTTTCTGCTGTATTTCATCTTACCAAAATAATGTTAAGAATGCATCTTTACAGTGCTAATTGGTTATGGAAATAATCTGGTAATGGACTACATAGGATGTTTATAATGAAGCCATATGTTTATCTGGATTTAAAAATTTTAAACAATCATTTATTATGTCATTCTGCTTTACCTTAAAGAACTGTAGACATATTTCACTTATACAGATCAGTAAGATCTTATTTATAGCAACAAATATTCCATTAAAATGTTGTGCTGTAATGTGGGGCAATGTAAATGTTTTTCATGGTTTCTATCAATGTGAAATAAAATAGAATTCTGACTTCTCTGTGACACTTTTTGAGTATTACCTTTAGGATTTACTTTGGAGTAGAAGTCTCTCATGTTTTAAAAGGAGGAAAACAATGTAGCCATAAGAAAATACACTGGGGGACCAGGGATTGAGCTCTGTTGTTCTGCTGCCTGCCTCTCGAGCACAAGGTCCCAAGTTAAATCTTGAGTTTGATCCCTGGTCCCTCACCCTCAAAGAAGGAAATACGTAGGAGAGAAATTTTGATAATGGTGTGATTAGCTTGGAATGGAGTAAGCCATGAGAAATAATGTTATTCAGTTTTATTTAATGTAATAGCAGTTACTCTGCTAATTAAAAAACTACCATATTTGGTTTTCATTGTTTATAACCTAGTTAAGAAGGTTATATGGTCTTTTCCTTTAATGTTTTAGTCAGTGGGTTATCCAATTGTGTTTACCCTGTATTTCACCATTCAGTTCTAACTTTTGTAGTACAGGAATCCTTTTTGTTTCACCTCTTACATAGTCCTTTTTTTTTGTACCAGGGATAGAACTCTGGACCTTGCACTTGCAAGGCAGGCAAGGCAGTGGCACCACTGAGCTAAATCCCTGGCTCTCTTACATAGCTTTTGAATACTTAAAATTGATCTGTGATCTTTTTGTTGGTCTGGAAAAAGTAAGACAATAGTTTTTAAAAAATCACATACTAGAGCCCAAGTTCGATTCCTGATTAACCCCCCCCCATAAAATCACCTACTAGGGCTGGGGATTTAGCTCAGTGGCATCATGCCTGCCTCACAAGCACAAGGTCCTGAGTTTGATCCCCAGAACCCCTCCCCCCAAAATAAATAAAATCACATACTAAAAGAATACTGAAGAGTCTAATAAATTATTATTATGATTGTGGAACATGAAAAATGAGGTGAGGAAGGAAAGGTGTGAGAGAGAGAGCAAAACTGCCCTTAATACATATTGCTTATTCAAAAATTTCATGATGTTAGAACATATATAAAGTCACCATTTTAAGTGTAGAATGCAGTGGCATTAAGTATTCATCATCATTGCAACCATCACCATTATCCACCTCTAGAACTTTATCTTATTCTCAACCTGAAGCTCTGGACCCATTCTTCAAATTTCCCATCATGTTAATCTATGGCCTGTCAAGTGGATGAGTTAAACTGTACTAGGCCCAAGATAACTGAAATCTGTAGAATTCACTCGGAACAAGGAAGAGTAAGAGACTATACCAATAAGACATCCAATATGAAGTTAAAGTGAAAATTCCAGAAGGATAAAACAATGAGAGAAGCAGTATTTGATGATAAAATGGTTGAAATTTTTCCAAACTTGAGGAAATAAGGTTTTGAGGGAAGAAATAAATTACTAGTTGGATAAGCAAGATCTTAAGGACACACTATGAAGAAAAGCCGAACAACACTGGGGATTTAGCTCAGTGGCACCGTGACTGCCTGGCAAGCACAAGGTCCTAAGTTCGATCCCTGACACTTAAAGATTGGTAATAGCAACTAGGAAAATGAACCATGTGGTAGAGTTAAGAAAACCACAGCTAGAAGTCAAAAAGTATTAAAGGAATAACAAAGGAGTAATATTACCAAAGCTGGAGAAAAACTGACAATTTGGAATTTCCTTTACAAGTAAAGTTAAGACAATAAATCATTTTTTAAAATGGGAAATTTATAAGAACAAAGACTAATGGTAGAACTTTAAAAAGATGTCCTTTGGGAAGAAAAGTGAACAAGAGGAAAGATAAAAAGAATGGAGAACAAAGAGGAAGCATTTGGGTAACCAATAATATTTGGGGACTAAAATACTGAATAAAAAGTACAATGGAAAATTAATTGGATTTTGCTGAGTGGTGGCACATGACAATACCAGCAGTCTGGGAGGTCGGGCAGGAGTATCAAGCTGAAGCCCACCCTGGGCGATTTAGTGAGTTAGACCCTGTCTCAAAATGTTTAAAAGTTGATTACATATATTCAGAACATACATATCTCCATATGAAGGCCTTGGGTTCAATTCTCAAGTGCAACCCCCCCATGGATGTTATTTATTTATTTCTTTTATTCATTAATTTTATTGGTATATTTTAGGTATACTATATGACATTCGTGATTGAGAATTTGTACCTTTACGTAATATATCTTGATTCTTATTTTTCCCCATTCCCCTGCCCCATGGATTTTATATACTAGCAGTTAGGATGTGGAAATCAAAAAATAAAATGACAATTACTCAAAAAATATTTAGTAAAAATCAATATTTTGGAGGTTAAACTATTAAATACTGATGAAATACATAAAAAAAATCTAAAGAAGAGATGGACATCATTCTAATGGATTGTGCTACAGTTTGGTTAGGGTTTGGATGTGTACCACAAGGTTCACTGTTGAAATTTAATCACTATGGTGGGTTAGTAAGAGGGTGGAAATTAGCTGGGTGTTGTGGCACACAGTAGTAATCCCAGAACTCTAGAAGGCTAAAGCAAGAGGACCAAAAGTTCAAGCCCAGCCTCGGCAATTCAGCAACTTAGCAAGACCCTATCTTAAAAAATGGTTGGGCTGGGGTGGGGGGATGTAGCGCAGTGCAAAGACCTGGGTACAAAAAAAAAAAAAAGTAAAAATTTAACTTGATAAAAGTTTCGAGTTTGGGGCTTTAGGGAGGTGTTATAAAACTAGGTAAAATGGGCCGGGGATTTAGTTCAGTGATTCTGCTGCCTGCTTCACAAGTGCAATGTCCTGAGTTCAATCTCTGGTAGAGGAGGGGAGGGGAAAAGAGAAAAAAAGGGAGGGAGGGAAGGAAGGAGAAAAATAAAATTAGGTAAGATCAAGGGACCACTTACTGAGCCCTGCTGGCTGTTTAGGGAGAGAGACCAGAAAAGATGCACACATGAATGTGGTCTCCTGCCATGTGATGCCCTGCATCCTCTCGAGACTTTGCGAACAAGAAAGCCATCACTGGGTGCAGCCCCTCAACCTTGGACCTTCATGAATCAAGAGTAAACCTCTTTACAATCTTATCCTACCTGAGGTATTTCATTTTAAAGTAATAAGAAAGTAAATAGGGGACGACTCAACATAGCAAAGGTGCTAACTCTCCCCAACACAAGTTTAATGCAATGGCTATTAGAACCCCAGTATGATTATTATATACAAGATGATTCTAAAATTTATGTGGGCAGACAACAGAACTTAGAATAATTTAAATGATGTTTAAAAAGAAAGGAAGCAAATTACTTCACCAGATTACAAGATTAAGTAGTGACTAATCAAAACTGTGATATTGGCAGAGATGAACTTAATGAAATAATTCTGAAAGGCACAAAAACAAAAGAGAAAGAATAGTTATTCCACAAATTGTGCTGAAGCAGTTTGGTATCCACAGGCAAAAAAACCAAACCAAAACAAAACAAAAAAGAAAAACCAAAAAACCCACCTTCTACCAAAACCTTAACACCAGCCCTGGGTAGTGGGGAATGCCTGTAATTCTAGCACTCAAAAGGCAGAGGCAGGAGGATCACTGCAATTTCAAGGCCAGCCTGAACTACGAAGTGAGACCCTGTCTCAAGAACAGGGCAGGGGATTTAGCTCAGTGGTGCCACCACCTGCCTTGGAGGTGCCAGATCCTGAGTTTGATCCCTGGTACCAAAACCAAGACAAAACAACATCCCCACCCACTTTATGCCAGATATAAAATGAATCTTAGATTTAAATATCAAATGTAAATTCTAAAATTTAGAAAACAGTTATTCAGAACTTACAGCTTTAAGTATTCTTAAATATGACAAAAGCATACTCCCTACAAGAAAAAAAAAATTGGCCGATTGGACTTCAATGCAATGAAAAACAAATTAAAATTTTAACTTTGGGGGACAATGTCTCAATAGTTCAGGCTGGCTTCATGCGGCAATCCTCTTGCTTCAGCCTCCTCAGTGCTGGGATTACAAGTGCCACTACATGTGGATGAAAAAAATTTTTAAGCCAGACATGGTGATAGATACACTGTAATAGACACAAATCCGAAAGTAATAGTAATTACAATTATCAGTGGACTAAGGTTGCCAGTAAGATTAGATTATCAGATTAGACAGAAGAATGATACCGTTATATTTTAATTTTGAGAGACATCTAATATAAAGGCACAGAAAGACTGAAAGTGAAGGGATTGGAAAGATATGACAAAATACCAAAAATAAACTGGATTAGCTATAGAGGTGAACTTTAAAGCAATGAACAAATGTTCCTACAAAAACTTGAATGTTCATAGCATTATGTCTAATAGCAAAAAATGTGGTAAAAAAATGTCCAACACTGAAGAATAGTTAAATAAAATAAGGCAGGGCCATAGGATATTCAGCAATAGAAGAGAAAGCTACAGTATGTCTCACTTTTTTTTTCTTTTCTTTTCTTTTTGGTACCTGGGATCAAACTCCAGACCTTGCATTTGCCAAGCAGGCGGCAGAACCACTGAACTAAATCTCCGCCCCGCCTCCACCGACTTTTTTTACTTTTTCTTTCTTTTTTTTTTTTTTTTTTTTTTTTTTTTTTTTTTTTTTTTTTTTGAGACAAGGTCTCGCTTTGTAGGTCAGGCTGGTCCTGACCTCACTATATATCCCAGGCTGGCCTTGAACCCTCAGCAATCCTGCCTCAGACTGGCGAGTGCTGGAATTTCGGGAGTGCACCACCGCCCTCGGCCATCCCACTGATTTTAAAACAGCCAAAGTTCCATTCTCTGAACCCGCCCGGGATTCGAGATTCGTGGTTTTGCATAGGTTCTAACCTCCACGCTGTACTGTAACACAGCAGGTTAAATCCTACCCCTGCCGTTTGTTTCTCGGCTGTGCGGAGGCGGGACTTGAGACTAACGCGCGGCAAAACGCGAGGCAGCCATCCTCCAGACGCCAGCCTGGCAGGACAGTCGGCTCGCCCCGCCCCTCCTCGGCTATCTGCGGTCTATTGGTCGCGCCTGCAAGGCGCGC